CTTCCTCGCCGGGAGCCCCCCACCCTGCCCCGCTTGGCCCCCGCTTGGCCCCTCTCCCCCCCCCATGGTAACTGTTTTTGGAAAGCACAAGTTCTGTACCGGCGGTGTGCTCATGTCTGTTAATAAATAAAGCGACTCCCACGGGGGCTGCAGCCTGCTGGGGGGGGCAGGGAGGGCAGGGGAGTGGGGGGCTGCCGCCACCCCGTGGGGGTGTCCCATGACGCCAGCCCGCCGGGAGGCGAACCCGAGCCACAAACTTTTATTCTCAAACTGTAACAAACAAAAAATTTAAGAAACAGAGCAGAGTCCGGGTCCCCAGCGCCCCCGGCCATGGGGGGGCCGGCGGGGGCCAGACGGGGAACCAGCCCCTTCCGCGCCGGCGGCAATGGCCCGCACCGGAGCGGGCGTCCCCAGGGTGACGCGGGCAACCGAAACCACCTCCCCCGGTGCCGGAGGGGCACCCGCGGCGAGGTCCCGGGGACCCCCGGGGCCGCCGTTAGACAGCGGTAGTCCTGCCGAAGAGGGGCATGGAGACCGGGAGGTGCCAGGGTCCCGGCTCGTAGGTGTCCCTGCTGCTGAGCTCCGAGTCCGTCCAGCTGGGAAACATGCGGGGGGAACATTCTGCCTGCAGGTAGAGGTCCGGGCAGGCAGGACCGGGGCTGGCCGAGCGGGGCAGGTGCAGTGCCGAACCGTAGCCGGCGTCCAGGAAAAGGGGTTTGTAGCTGGGGGGCTGCTCCTGCTTCTCCAGCCGCTCGTGGCTCAGGAAGGGGGCGTTGATTTTGCGGTAGAGCCCCCGCGTGTCCATCAGCACCTCGCTGTACGGCGGGGGGGGCTCCGCCATCAGCAGCGCCTCCTCGTAGCACGGCGGCTTCGACAGGTCTGACTCTGCAAGGCAAAGCCCCCCCCCGGACCCCCGCTGCCGTCAGTGCTGTGCCCCGGCTCTCCTGCCGTATCACACCCCCCCCTCAAAAAAAAGGGGGGGGAGGCGCACGCACCGGTGATGCCAAGAGCCCCTCCCTGCTCCTTACCGTGCCGGCAGCTCCAGGGCCGGGGGGGTGGGATGTGGTGGGGGTGATGATGGTGGGGCTCGAGGCGGAGGCGGTGGGGAATGGCGATGCCGGGGGGGCTGCCCCCGTAACCCTCGTAGTGCAGCGGCTCCAGCTCCAACGCGCGCAGGCTCTGCTCCCGCAGCCGCTCCTCCTGCTGCCGCTTCACCCGCCGCCGCAGGTAGCTGCAGAAGCAGCACAGCAGCACGATGAGCCCCCAGATGAGCCAGAAGCCCGCGAAGCAGGTGAGGAAGGTGTAGGTGCCCTGGGACATCACCATCTTGGCTGCCGGCCCCGGGGGGAGGCCCCCGCCTCTCCCTGCCCTCGGGGTGGGGGACGGGATGCTCAGGGCGGCGGCAGGGCCAGGGCAGGACCCGATGCTGTCAGGGCCGCCGAGGGCATCTCCCCGGGCCGTGCCCGGCGGCGTCTCCTCCGGCCCGCGGGTGCCCGCCGTCAGGGGTCCGTCCTCGCCATGGAGCCGGGGGGGGCTGGAGCGGGTGGGTCAGGCCTGGGTGCGCTGGGCGGG